CAGTTGTAATACTACTACTAGTAGTGGTACTAGTAGTAGTAGTAGTAGTAGTAGTAGTAGTAGTAGTAGTAGTAAAAGTAGTAGTAGTAGTAGTAGTAGTAGTAGTGGTAGTAGTAGTAGTAATACTAGTAGTAGTAGTAATAATAGTAGTAGTAGTAGTTTTCAATAGCAACAGGAGTCGTTGCCGTAGGAGTTGTAGCAGTAGAAATGGAAGTAGTAGTAGTAGTAGTAGTAGTAAAAGTAATAGTAGTCGTATGGGTAGTGGTAGTAGTAGTAGTAGTAGTAGCAGTAATAGTAGCGTAGTAGTAGTAGTGGTAGTAGTAGTAGTAGTAATATATAGTGGTAGTAGTAGCCGTAGAAGTCATAGTAGTAGCAACCGAAGTAGTAGTCAGAATCGTAGTCGTAGCCGCCTCGGTAGTAGCAGTAGTCGCCGTAGTAGCAGAAGTAATAATAATAACGCAAGAGTACTAGTGGTACGAGTCGTAGTAGTAGTAATAAGTATCGTAAGAAAGTGGTAACAGCAGTAGTAACAACCGTAGTGGTAATAGCTTGATAAATAATAGTAGTGGTAGTCGTAATAGTAATAGTACTATGGGAAGTCGTAGTCGTAGTGGCAATAATAGTCGTAGCAATCGTAATGGTAGTAGCAGTAGCAGTAGTAATAGTAGTAGTAGTAGTAGTAGTAGTAGCAGTAGTAGTAGTAGTAGTAGTAGTAGTGGTAGTAGTTGCAACAGTAAATACAGGAGTCATAGCAACATAGTAATAGTAATAACAGAAAACGTAGCCGTAGTCGTAGTAGAAACCATAAGAGTAGTCGTATTACTGGTCGTATACCGTAGTCGTAGTAGCGATACAAAAAAAGAAGAATAGTAGTAGTAGCACAATTAGTAGGAACAGTCGTACTAGGAATCGTACCCGTCGTCATCGTAGTAGTTGCAGTCGTAGTCGTAAAACTACTCGAAATGCAAATACTGATTGTAGCCGTGGTCGTAACAGAAGTACTCGTAATAGTAGTCGTGTTCGTCGTAGCCGTAGTAGCTGCAATTGTCGTAGTAGTGATAGGAGTTGTCGTGATACTAGGGGTAGTCGTTGCGGCAGTAGCCGTCGTAGTAGGAGTAGCACGAAGAGTAGTATTAGAGCAGTCTTCAGAAAGGTAGCAGGAATAGTCGTCGTGGTCGTGGACGCAGTGGTAGTACTACAATTAGGTCGTCGTCGTAGTGGTGATTGAAGTAGTCGTAGTCGTAGTCGTAGTAGTCGTGACAGTGGGGGCCGCAGAAAAAAATAGCCGTCGTAGTCGCAGTCGTTGTAGTAGTAGAAGCAGTGGCCGTAGTAATAGCAAGAGGATGAGTAGAAATAGTAGTAGCAATAGTGGTAGTAGTAGTCGTGGCAACCGTTGCAGTAGTAACAGCAGCAACAGTAGTAGTAATAGTCGGAATCGCAGGAAAATTAGTCGTATTTATATACCCAATACTCGTAGTAGAAGTACCAGTAGTCGCTGTAATAGTAGTAATAGTAACAATACTAGTGAGAGTAGTTGTAACACATACATAGTAATGGTAGTCGCCGTAGTAGTGGTAGTAGCTACAGTAGAAGTAGCCGCCGTAGTAGCAGCAGTAGTGGTAATACTACTAGTAGTAATAACACGAGTAGCAATAATAATACTTATAATCGTGGGACGGGTGATAAAACTTGTCTTACCCGTAATGGTATTATTAGTGGTCGGAATACCATAATTAGTAGAGGGTCGCTGTTGTATTAGCACTAGCCGTAGTAGTAATGGTAGTGGTGCTGGTAGCGTT